ATATAATTTTCAAATTATTTTTACTTTTTTGACATTTGAAATTTATTTTCCATAATTGTCAGTAAAAAAATATTCGCACAGTCAAAAACCTTGATAATTCAACACAAGGTTTTCATAATTTTTTCATATAGGTATACCTAAAGAATATAAAAATAGATAGACACGTAATAATATTCATTTCTGAAATTTGAATATTTAATACATAACAACTCATAAATTGTCATTATTGAAATTAAAAAATATAGATTGAGCATTAAAATTTTAACTAGAATATAATATATTCACGCGTTAAATAACGATTTTCTAATTTCGATGCAATTAACAAATAAATAACAATAATAGATATACATTAACTTTTAAATGTATATATATCAGCATTTGCAACACATATAGTATAACTTTTAAAATATTTTGGCACTTTAATACTATTTATAGCCATTTTAATTTTTGTAGTTTTTAATTTTTTTTTTTTCGTTTTATGTACGAAAAATTCATTTGAGTAAAAAATCTTGAAAATTGAATACAAAGTTCCTCTTTGGAAGAAACGCCGAGTTTTTATTCAAATATTTTTAAAATACTTGATACACTGCAGGCACGATTTTAGATTCTGAGCGGAGCGAGGAATGTATTGATTTTACAATGATGGTTGTTTTTTTTTGTTTTTGTGTCTGTCATCATGTTTTGGGGCAGTAAAAGTGCTTCGATTTTTGACTTCAGTACCTCGTTCGATCATGAAATGAATCTAGTTGTTACTTTAGAGGGTAAAAAATAAAAAGTTCCAAATATTTTTCTTTAGTTCTTTAATTAGGATAAACAAACTAAAAGTTAAGGAAAAAACGGGAATTTTTACACACAATCAATTTTCGACAAAATCGATTTTGGTTTTTGATGTAACTTTAAAACAAATGACTATAAATATATGAAATTTTCACCGAATGTTTATATTATAAGTATTTCTATCCACCATGCAATTCACGATCATTATTAGTTTTTTTTTTAATTTAATATCGATAAAAATTTAATTTTTCGGTAGAAAAACTTTAAAATTTAATACAAGGCTCCTAACATATTATTACAATAACAGTTAAAAAATAAAAGAAATACATGTTCACAATTTTTTTATAAACATTAAAAAATAGAATTTTGACAAAATACGTAAAAGTCACAAAAATTCGCAAATTATTTTAAGCTAGAAATTCATAAAAA